AGAGGTGAAAGAAACACCTTCTTCCTTGGTTCCAGGCTGACCATTTGACTCAGCCTGAGTCAGCAGCACGAAGGCAATGCGCTGTGTTTCCTCAAGCCCTGTGGCAGCACACTGCACCAGGTATCTCAGCTCTGGGTGATAAGGCAGCTGTTAGCAAGAAACTCATTAATGAGTAAAGCTGGGAATAGGTGATTAATAACAAGCAAGCATCTGGCCACTTTTAAGGAGTCATTAAGGCCTTGACCATGGAGGTTTTAGCAGATAATCTCTAGAATATCTGTGTCATGTTGGAAAGGCATCCCACATGCTGAGCCTTTGCAGGCCTTTGTGTACCCCACATCAATCCCCCAGTTCTCCATTGCTGCAGGTGGGTCTGTCCCAATTCTCCCTGGCTGTATTCCCATCATTAGATGGGAAATCATTCATTTGACATAATATTCTGGGAGAATGGAAAATATCTGGGTACTGCAAGAACAAAATGGGGAATGAATAGGTGAAGTATGCTGGTTGCTCTGAGCTGGCACTTTCCCACCTAAGTGTAGGCATGGTCTGACTGCTGCTGAGATGGGTTCATTGAGCCCTGCTTCCAGGCTGCCCCTTCCTTACCCCACATGGGTCTGTCTTCCTCCCTATGCCTCCTCAGCCTATGTAACATCTCCCTAACCCAAAAGAACAAAATTGTACCATAAAAGGGTACTGATCATTGTAAAAAAATGAATAAATAAAATATTTATGCTTTAAAGGCTTCCATTAGCTTTCCCTCATTGTTTGTTACAGGTAGGGCAAGAAGATGCTTGGAACAATGATCCTTACTTGTGGCCTTTAAGAATCATAGACCAGAAATGAAATTTCATCTCAAAAAGACCAAATGTAAGGGAAAGGGGAGGAAAAAATGCAGCCCAGCACAGGGGCAGGAGAGCTGTGAGCAGTGAGGGGGCACAGGGCAGCAGGAAGCCAGGGCCACAGCTGTTTGTCCAAGAGTTTTCTTGGAAACCCCTGGGACTCCTTGCTCCCAGCATGTCAATGGGAATAAGAAGCATTTCTGCAACACTGAGCTTACTGCAAAATCAGGGGTGGTCTGTTTGCTTTTTTTCCCTTAGGGAAGCGCTGTGGTCAGCCAGAAGTTCTTGGACAGACAGTGGGAGTTAAGTGCATGAAATCCAACACTCCATGCCATATACCAGAGGTCAGGCCCAGGGTCCCTTCAGATCCAAAGCACAAACGCAGCAACTGTTTCCCACCAAGAAAGCCCTCCAAAGCCTGTTTCTGGAAAACGAGAGCAGAGGCAGAATGAGATGGGAGAACAAAGTCAGCCTAATGGACACAAAGCACTGCGAGTCGACATCTGATGTCAGTGCCTATGGACACCAAGGCTTGGCTCAGCTGCAGGGCCCAGCAGTGGCAGCCCAGGGTGCTGGTCCTTGTCTGACCCCGCTGTGTTTCACATGCTGTTCTCCTCTGGGCTGAGCCAGCTCATCCCGCTCGAAACTCCGACTGAAAACATCATCTAAAAACAGCTCCTCGTGCTGGTGCCCAGGGGGGAGGAGAAGAACTCAGCAGGCACAGATGGAGCTGCAATAAATAGCGGAGCCGACGGGACGGGGTGGGATCTCACACTGACAGCAGCAGCTCTGCATGAGCTGGGATGCAGGATGTGCAACTGCTATGCACCCTGAAGGTGGCTGTGGTAAACTCACAGCTCCTCTGCATCCAGGGCTTGGAGCTGGCAATGAATGCTACAAGAGTATCATGGTGTTCTTACTACCAACTAAATAAGCTTTCCTGTGGTTGAAAACCATTCGTTTTTTTTCTTTAAAGCTTCATATATCAGCTAGACACAGAATTAAACAAACAAACAACCCGGGACATTTAAAATGCTGTGTTTACACTTCTCTTTGGAGGAGCTCAACTGTTCTCTGCTCCGATGCAAATAAGGCGTATTTCCACTCTATGTATTTTTGGTCAGAATGAAGAGATAAATAGTGCACTCCAAACGTCACGCTTCCAACCGGCTCCAGCTTACTTTGGTCAAGAAAACTTCACACAGAACACCAGCACATTTTGAGCCTGAACTGTAATTCTCCTGGCAGGAATTTATTGCTAATCGAGCCTATCTGCAGCATGGGAACCAACAAGTGAGGCCCAAAACCGAGGCTGTCAGACTCACTTCACTTACTGGTTATGAAATGGGACAAAACAGCCCCAGAGTCACACGGAAACATGAGCATGGTGGTGACACGGCCTTTCATGCACAGCGTCAGCACTAAAAACAGCATATAGATGGTTTGGGAAGTTATAAACACCGACCTCATGATTCTATTCTGGGTTGGTCCTATGACAAAAGGGGAAAAAATAACCGAATGAAAACAGCAACAACAAAAATCCAGTGGAAGATAAGGGCCCAAAGCAATGGGCAGCACTGCTCGGGGCGCACCGTGCTGGCTGTGGGATGGGAGCTGGCGGCACTGACTGACACCAGCACAGCTGCAGCCCCATAGTGCTTCAGAGCTCCCCTCTGTCTTCCTCTTCTTAATTATTGTGACTTTTTAACTCAACAGCTGTTGTCAGGTTACTCGTGCCGTGCCCCTGTCTAGCCTCCCCATGTCCAAAGTTTGCATGGATACTGAGAATGGCTCTTCCTCATCTTCAGCATGTCAGACTTTTTCAGTGGATCTCAAGTCTACCTCCAGACATCTCCCAAGTATGGTGTGGGGCTGATCTGCCCCAGACAGCCCTGCAGGAGGCCTGGATGGGACTCTATGGGGCAGATGCAGAAGTGCAGCCCCAGCCGCACCTGCCCTCCTCTGCCCTATGCCTCCATCCCCCAATCCCCTGATTATTAAGCAGCATTGATCTGCAAATGGGGGACTGAAAGGTCTTTGGGAGACAAGCGACAAATTGTTTAGAAGCCAAAAAATTTCCATGAGATAATTTTCAGTGGAAAAAGATGGAGAAAAGCCCACTGTACCTTAAATGCAATATAAATTCTTATCCGTGAGTGTTTTGATGTAGCTTTAACCTCTGAATTAAGAGCTACAATTCAAAAGACATCTGCTAACTGATGATTCTGCAAAACCAGAAGTGCATCGCCTGCATTCAAATGAGCTCAAAAAAAGCACAAGCACATCTGGTTTCGTGAATCAGATCAGAACAAAAACTGTTCTTTGTTGCTGCTGGTTTTGCCAGCAGTGGAGATGAAGGTGAGTGAAAAGCAGAGCAGATGAGATTTCTGAGGGTCGTGCGGAGTCGGCTCACCCCCAGCTAGGGTGATGTGCTGGGATGATGTGCTTGTGCGTCAGCACACAGAACTACTCCTGTGTTTTCCACACAAGAAAAAAATATCAGCTTCAGCCTTGAGTCCAGAGATGCTCCTTTGGCCCTGGGTATGTTGAGCACATGAGAGCTGGAGCTGAGGGAGCCCTCGCTGTGTAAGTAAGGGGGATTTCTGCCAAGAAGGGGGGAGAGGTTTTTCTGTAGCTGGCCCCTGGAGAATGCTGCCTTTGACAGAAAAAAGTAAATGTAAAAAATCCATCCCTTGCAAGCTTGTGAAAGCATGGCTGTGGGCCACGGCCATTCTGATGGGCTTTCTAACTCCCTGGCAAATGTCCCCCACCTTACTGCAAACAGAAGAGGCCTATTACAAGAAGTCCTCGTCCCTTCTCCTTTTTTTAATTTATTTTTTTTTGCTTGTTCTTCTAAAGCACTGTCATCACATTGCTCAAGTGCTGCAGTTCTGACTTCCCCAGCAGTAATGCACAGTTTTCCCCAGCCACCCTTTTCACAGCAGAGATGATGCTGTCCAGCCCTGCTGCAGCAGCCCCCCGCTGTGCTGTGAGCACACAGTGACAAACCCAGCCTCCTGTTGTGCGCTTTGCAGTAGATATCTTTCCGCTCAGAAAAATCACATTCCCCTCTCCCAGGGCCATTCCACCACCTGACCAAACACCTCCCTAAATTCAAGACACCAGGACTGAACTCTGGACTGGCCCTGGGCAGGAGAATTATCCACAACCCTGTCCACCAGGGCCCAGTTTTCTCTTACAGAATTTGTCAAGAATTGCCACCAGCTAACCTCAGCTTGAGAGCAGACGCAGGTTCCAGTATCAGTGCTGTCTGCAGCCCTTCCACAGCTGGGTGTGCTCTGCTCCAGCACCTGGAATGTGCTTCCGGAGCCATCTCCTCTCTTATCACTCACTGCACCGATAGTCAGCCTGAAACAAGCTCGACCTTCTCATTGAGTTGAACTTTGGACAACAGGAAAACACTTGTTGTAGCAACACAGTCAGGCACCCAGCTGTCTGCTTTGTGCAACGGGACAGTGGGGTTGCATTAAGGCCCGTTCCCCACCGTGAGCACAGGGGAAGAATGGAAACTCACCAGATGCAGGCATCAGGATCAGCAAGATGTGAGTGCAGGTGGGGCTGTCAGTTCTGCCTCATGCTTACACTGCAGAACGCATTTCAAAGAAAAATAAGCTTTCCAAATCATTGAGAAAAAAAAACCCTGGTTTGTCACCTTCTGCCGCCCCCATGTGCCCTCCCAAAGCCATCCCTGTGCTGAGGACACTTCCTGAGAAGGGTCACTGCTGATCCTGCACACTTCGTCACCAATGATGGCCAACAAAACCTTGGGATTAAGGGAACATTTCCGTGGCATTGAAAACAGAATTGGAAAGGAAAAGATTTAGTTGAAACAAACAAACATGCTCATCAAGCTGCCACAGGCCAAATTCTGTAACTTCATGCTATATTTCAAACTTGGAAAGGAGAAACGACACCGAAACAACAGAAAATGGATAACAAATAGTAAGTGGAAAGCAATGCAAAAACCAGACATGCAAGAAAAACCACGCTGGAGTGGATCCAGATCTCCCCAGCATTATAAAGCTATTTTATATTAACATGAAGGCGAATTCATGAGTTTGTTCTCTACCCTCTGCACAGGATTCAATCCAGACAGACCTAAGTACTGAGAAACAGTTTTTCTTCAGTGGTTCCCACCTTGTGAAGCCACACAGCCAGTGCTCTCCTGCTGGTCCCATGCTGCTGCTGTGCAGGGCAGCGGCTGTCACATGAGATCTCGCCCTGCTCGGATGCTGCCGCAGGACAGCCCCGCTGCGGCACGGCGTGATGCCCTCAGGGCGGTGGGGACGCGCACTCCCTCCTGGGGTTCTGCAGATGCATCGCTAGGCGCTGCCAGCCCCGAGGGGCTCCGGGAGGAAAGCAGCCCGGTACCGCTCTGCTGCTCCCTGCGGGCTGATTGCAGAACTGCTGTCACCCTGCAAAACCTCTGTAATCCTTGAGCGAGTGCCAGAAGCCTTGCTCATTCTGGGTAACTCTTGCTGTCTCTTTAGAAGGGATTCTCAGAGCCGCAGCTGTCTGCAGCCAGCATACAACACCTCTTCTTTCTTTCCAACACCAATACGGAAATGGTGCTACATGCACAACACACGTGGTGCCTTTGGAGCAGTGCAGCCACTACTTCAATCTGGGGGCTGGAGTGCAGCAGCGGTGCCTTCAGCACAGATGTGCCTTTGCCTTTAGGGCTGTGCTGCAGCATGGAGCTCTGCACGAGGAGCCCTGAAGCACCGTCAGGAGGAGCACAGTGTTCAGTGCTGACTCTTCGGGTGCAGAGGAAGGAAGGTTGGAGAGCAAGAATTCTGCCCTTCAGGGCTCATCAAACAGCCACACATGAAAATCGCACCTTCAGGGCCCCAAACACCTGGCAGCAGGGAGAGAAAAGCACTTTTTGGTTTTAAAATGTAAGAACATAACAACATTCTGATTTGGATCACATCTCCATGTCCATTCAAGTTTGGAAAGTTAAATATAGCCAGCACCTTATAAAATATTAATTGAAGCAAGCACCGCACTGGGACCCATGAATCACTGTGCATGTGTTCAATACTTACAAGTGTAGCTGTGGTGAGGAGTTGGGCTCGACCCCTCACTATGGTGCATAAGGGCTGGTGGGCAACCTGCTGCTGCTGGCTTACCAAGCCATAAACCACAAACCTGTTATGTGGGTGGGGACAGCCCTCAGGTCACAGAACAAGGCTCACAAGTCAACAGCACAATTTGATGTTAATCCGCAGCTCACGTGTCAGCTGTAAAAGAGTGAATGTTACAAGCAAAACGTCTGGCACAGACCCTAGGAAATGCTCTTCTTTTACCTGGTTGGTTTCTGTCTTCTTAGTGAGGATGGTTGGGGCTTTCTCCACATCGCATTGGGGCTGCAGTGCTGAGCATCTGACTCATCCATCCAGGCATGGAGGACCTCGCGCATCCCTCCTCGCTGCTCTCAGCCACCGATTATCTCAGATCATCATCAGTGCTTTGGATGACCGAATAAACAGGATTATCCTCTCCCGGTGCCTGTTAAGTCAAAACTGGATGGTGATCCTATTAGTGGATCGCAGTAGCACGAGGATATCCAAGCAGGAGATTATCTTTTACTTGCTCTGCAGAGCTGAAAACAGCACTGGGAAACTTTTAATCTCCATGAAGGGGACAGTAGAGCTCACAGAAAGAAACCTGAATTCATCACCATCCCCTCAGTCAGCTGCCTAGCTCAAAAAAAGCGTCACGATCGACAAAGTCACACCATCCTTTCATTGATACAGTAATGGATTTGGGATGCCAGTGGAAAACATCTTACATGCAACGCCTCTTTCATCCGAACTGATCCCAGCAAGCCTTACAAGCACCACATGCCAACGGCACGTGGGATTAACAGCACTTACAGGAGCCTGTCTGTGCTCCCACTGAGGTTACAGAGCAGGGGCACTCACTGCTGAGTCAGACATGGGCTGGAATGGGGCCAGGCTGCTGAGCTCAAGCCTTGCATTGTGCTGGAAGGGTTTGGGCCTGCGCCTCGTGCAGAACAACGGGGCAGGTTGCAGTAGGGCACAGAACAGTGCTGTTTGTAACATCTTGATAGCTCACCCTTGTTTTTTTCAGCATTGAGGGTTAAAAATATTGCAAGTTGCAGAGGAGGAAATACCCGTATCTCAAGTAAAATCTACTTAAAGAAATGATCTGTTTTTTAAAGCAGAATATCAGGGAAGCAAGCCAGCCATTCCCAACACCTTTTAATAAATGCATGCAGAAAAATAAATTCCTTCAAAAGAAGCTTTGAAGAGTGTAATTAAGCATGAAAGTTACCATATATTAAATTATACATCTAGTAAAAAAAGAATCATTAGCCCAGCAAATGGGCTGTTAATGATTTCAGGTTTGCCTCAGGCTGCAAGCTAACCAACCTGTGCTGAAGCAGCGGCTGGGCTGCTGCTGAGCCTGGCTGCTGCCACAGACCTTGCTCACTGCTTGACAAGTGTGGAACAGCCAAACCTACGATAAGTCACACCAAATGTGACCTGTAGAAACAGCTGGCATTTGGGACAGGCAAAATGCCAACTTTAAGGTGCTTGGAGCTCCTCCACGCATCAGACTCTGGTGTGCATCCAGCTGCACTCCCCCACTTTTGCTGGGTTTCATGGTCCTTTGCTCCTGCCCAGAGGGGTCCCAAAGCCATGGGGTTCCCTGCAGAGCTGCCACAGCCCCATGATCCCCACAGCAGAGCTTTGGCTGAAGCCTGCCTGCCTTCAGCACTGAGCTGGCTGCCTGCCCAGAAAGGGGAGATGTGGCACTGAGGGGCACCGTGGTGGGGCACAGTGACATGGAGTCATGGCCATGAGGGCCCAGCTGCTCTGCCTGTTGCTGGCCGGCTGCTGCTCCCCTCCTCTCTCTGGGTAATTTCTCCTCTTCCTGTGGTGCAACCCAAAAGCACAGAAACCCATTCCCTCGCTGGTCCCTGAGCTCCACTGTTGTGCTCCCTGGAGAGCTGCTCACGGTCTGAGCTGGCAGAGGACTCCCCCTGAGCAGAAGTGGTGTGAACACAGCACACCATGGGACGGTCCAACAGCAGAATGAGACTCTGTTCGATTTAAGGAAGCTCTGCTGTCACTATTTTGTAACGAACAGGTCTGGTTAGTTCCAACTTTTTTCAAATAAAACAAAGAGGCGCTTCCCTCTTTTATGGCTCACATGATCGAAGGGCCAAGATTTGCATTTCCACATAAGAATAAATTGGATCATGTCAGCAGACAGTGGCACGACCCCCAGACCCAGCTCCCACCAGAGCAAGGCCACTTGCCAACTAAGGGAGGGAGTTTCTGTAGAAACAATGCTTACCAACAGCACCAAGAGCTAAAGTTTCCTTTCCCGACAGCAGCATTCAAGGTAAAATCTCAGGTGGCCTTTGGGACCCCATTTAAGACATCTGTGTCATTCTATGTCAGATAAATCACATGTATGGTGCCTGGTCCTTCCTCCAAATGCTGTTTTCTTCTCATGGTTATTCCTACAAAAAGAACATGGCTCGATTTTGACAGCAGTTGCACAGACTTCAGGGTAAATATAGCTGCCGTTGACTTTCCCTGAGCCTCAAATACTTCTGAAAATAAGCTTTCTGGCACCCACTGAGGAACATGCTGAACATCTTTAGTTACATGCCCCCAAATAAAAGGGACCCATAAGATCCTTACCAGCAGCAATATGAATTCAATTTGAGATCACATTGAACTCTGGTTAGAAATATTCGGGCGCAGTCCATCTCTCGCTCCACTGCTGCAGCCAGAATATCTTCAGTGTAACTGGAAAGTAAGATAATTAAATAAAAGAACTGAATTATTCAATTTAACAGCCTCCCCTGTGGGTCCACATGCACACTGGAGGCTGTTCTAAGAGCACCTGGGCTTCCACTGTGCCGATCCCAACCTCAGCTCACACAGCTCTCAGGTCTTCATATTTAAAATACACTTTCCAAATTTTTTTTTTTTTTATAAAATAAAAAAAAAAAAAAAAAGAAAGAAAAAAAAAGAAAAAAAAAAGAAAACCTTTCCCACTAAAGCAAGTAGATTTTCCAATGAACTCCAGCACTTAACCCTGCAGCACTTTACTATTTCTAGATTAGAGCATGAGTTTCGCATTTTTTCCAGGAGAAAAAATATATGCATGAATTTATAATGCCACTGTAGCAAGCAGAGGAAGAATCCTGGAACAGAAAATAACCCGAGCAATAATACTGAGCCCAAACTTTCCCAGAAGTTCAGGAGCAGCAGCTCACTTCTGCTAAGGCTGCAGACAGTTCTGTGCCCCTGTGTGCAGCTGCCCCATCCATCAGAGCTGGGTGCTCTGTTACGGACAGCCTTTGTTCACTGGCTCTCTGCTGTTCCAGGGATGCTCTCCTGAAGGGACAAATGCTGACACGTTTTGTTTCACATCCTACCTGGCTGGCATGGCCTTGGTGTGGCCTTCATCACTCACAAGTGAGCACAACAAATGAGCATTGCTTCTTGCTGAAAGCATCCCGGTCGGCCCTGACTGACCCAGAAGGGTTTTTATCACCACAGCTGGTCATGAGATGGGAATCCTTTTCCATAAGACATCTCCCGATTAGGAAAAGTAGTAATAGAAGAAAGCTACTTCATTTCCCCAGAAGAGCATTTTGGAGGAAGCAAACCAGGGCTTTTCATTCTGTTAGAAACCTGTCTGGGAGGCATCACCCACCCCATGCTCTCCCACCATTTGGGAGAGGATGAGACGAGCCTTCTGGAGCTGAGATACACACTGCATGCTCATGGTTTCATTCAGAAACACGAATGACAAAGTGAACTCTTACTTCAAACCACATTTCAAGCCCTCTGAGGATGGACTGCAGCTGCCCAGAGCTGGGCTCAGGGGGCTCTGCGGGGCTTCAACCTGCTGTGCTGCTGTCCCTCCCCACAGAACCACAGAACTGCCTGGGATCAAACTACTAAATGTCATTTATTTGTGATGCCTCTCCTTTGCAGAGACGTGCAGACACTTGCTGTGGGAGCTGCTGGGCATAGGCAGCACCAGAAGGGCACTGCTGTCCCTGGGAGGGCAGGCTGGCTGTCCCACACCCAGAGCTGCCTTGGGAGCAGCTACTGCTGTGAAAAGTGGAAGAATAGCTCCCGTTTTTAATTATCTGATTTTTTCCACACTAAATTCAATTGAGACAGCAAGGAGGGGGCAGTACTTGAAGACAGACAAGGCATTTGCATCTGTTTTGCCGATTATAGTAGTTGCACATTTTACTTTAAACACCAATGGGCTGCAACTGCTATTCAAATGATATGGAAATTGGTACTTTACACTGAAATCTCCCTTAAGCAACAAAGGAAGGGATTAGCACATGGCTCTGCTTCTCCTTTTCATTTTACTAAAGCACTGTGGCAGTGGAAATCTGATGGCTCATAAACAACACCTGTATCTTCTGATTTTTATTACATCAAGCTGCAGAATATTTGAACCCTTTTGTGTAACTATGACAAAACAATTTTTAATGAAAAAAAGAGTGATCTATATCTGAAACACTGAATTAGCTTCATGTTCACAGGGCCTGTCCATCCCAGATACATAGGCACACAAATGACAGAGGACAGCGATCAGCTGGGTGCCTGCACACAACCTGCCTCTCCTGCACAAACCCACATGGGGCCAGTGCCAGCCAGGACTCAACAGCTGCCCTCTACCCCCTTTCATGCAGTCCCACAGATGGCAACTTTCAGTGAGCTTTAATGGAAACGTTGCATGAATGCACCCTCTCAGCACAGTTATCCAGGACTTGCTGGGGAAACAAAGGTGCATTGCTAATAAAGTATTTTCATGCAATCCACTGCAGAACCATTGATAGAATTAAATGGTGAAAGAGTTTGCGCAGCTCACAACATGCCTGTGTCAAAACTTCGATGCTCCAGGGACCTGGGATGGGCGAGATTGTCAGGTCCTCACCAAGTCATGCAGCCCCCTGTGCTGAAAATTGCTGATTCAAACATTGAAGCACTGAACACAATCACTGCGTTCTCATGTTCCACTGAGACACCTTCAGCTCTTCATAGAGCACAGACAGGATTAAACAAAGTAACTCCTTTATCTCAGTAAAATTTCACTACGTGACCCACAGAATAGAGCATTATCAGTCTGGAGCTGCCCACATTACACAGGGACCCAAATTCTGCTCTTACCCAGTGCCTCTGCATCCCCACCGCCTTCAGGGGATTTTTAATCACAGAAATAAAAGGGCAACATCACTTCAGAACATTTGCACTGTATCCATCATACTAAAACCAACACAACAGGGCAGGCCACAGCACATTCATGCAAGAACTCTGATAACTGCATTTGCACTTCTAGTTTTGTCAGCCACACATGAATATTTATGCACATTTCCATGATGTGCCCCTGGTTTGCATAGGGCACAGGTTGTCAGCAGCTGAAAGCCATTAGCATCTGACAGCTGCTGAAAGAGCTTGTTTGGAACAAATAGGTGTCCTGTCCTGCAGAGCAGGCAGGTGATGGGGCATCGTTAGGGGTGCAGCTCTGGCAACTGTCTGACAAGGAAGGCACTCCCTGTGCTGCTCAGCCCGGCCTGGGCAGGGAGATTTAATTATCATCACCACATAATGGGTGGTTTGTAGGAGGCCCAGACCTGACAGAAACAGATAGTGGGCAAACAGAGCAGATCGCAGCCGATGGAGCAATTACAATCCAAATAAGAGCCTGTGAGCTGAGAGAGCAGATGTTGCTGCCCATCTCCCCACCAAATGTGTGTTTGAATGGGATTTGAAGAAAAGGTAAAAGAGCATTGCTTGCAGAGCTATGGGATGCTGGTGGGGGATGCTCAGGGACAGGTCCTCAAGGGCCTCTTGGGAGCAGAGGTGGGGACATCCAGTGATGGGGATTGAGAGAGCCCAGGAGGGGGCATCTCCCCCTGCAACCAGCACCTCCCAGCACAGCTAGAGCAGGACTGAGCTGAAGGCTTGTTGTTTTATTCCATGGTAGGGAGATGAGCCCTGTGAAGTTGGCAGACAGTGCTGGGTGTTCCCACCTCAGCCACAGGGAGGTGAACAGAGCCCATGGAATCCTGCTGGGAAAGGCTGCACTTATAAAGCATGCCCACAAGTGCCAAACGCTCCACAATATCCATCCAAGCAACTGTGCTTTCTCAAAACCAAAATAAAAGCATTAGGTGGGCAGAGATGAAATCGAGTGGTCAAATATAACAGAAGAGGTACATTGCAAGATTACCCTTCTGAGATGCTGGAAATACATGCCTTTGTCCCACACCAACAGCACAGCAATCCCGCTCAGCACTATTCACACATCACTCACACCTCCCAGCACTCATCTGCTTCTGGGGAGAGACTTGAGAGCACATGGGGCTGGGCCTTCATCTCACATTCTGTGCCCATGTTTGCAATTATAAGCACAGTCATGGTGAATGTCTGCACAAAGGACAAGCTACAAATCCTCTTGGTACTTCCTGGGTCGTTGCTTCACTGGTGTTCTTGAAAACAGCAAGTATGGAAATGCCCCCACTTTTCTACAAGCACACGCGTGATACAGCTCTGATTGACAAGCCTTGAAGTTAACAGGAACAGCAAACATCTGTGCCCAAAACCATGGGTGAGGAAGCACCCTCCATCTCTCAGGGCTCACAAAGCATTCACTGCTGCCTGTTTGAGCTGTGTTTTTAAAACACGGGTTGTTTAAAATATACACCATTAGTATTAACAAAGACCTGCATTTCTCAGGGCAAGGCACTGGCACAAGCACTGCCTTCCATCTCATGTGCAGTGACCTTTGGAAGTATTTTTAGGCACTGTCCCATAAGCAATGCCTCTTGCACCAATTGCTTCTCTTCTGCCCAGATATAAACCAGCAGTAACCGTGAGAGCTGCGTGGGATGGATTTGTGTTTTCTAAAACTGGGGGGAAAAAGACAATTACTGAAGTTTGGAAGAGGGTCTAAGCTGCACAACTTTCTCATTTATTTAATTCTAACACATACAGAGACTGCATGCCATGGGTAAGGACACTGCAGCACATGGAGAGCCAGCAGGAGGCTTCTCAACAGATCACACCACAAACCAAACTGGTGCCAGAGTTCAGAGGTGTAAGATGAAGGATTTGTTCCTTTTCACTTACTATTTAGAAGGGTCACGTGAGGGAGCAATCAGCATACGAGAGATGAACAGAGTTCCACTTCTTTTTAAATTTATTTATTTTGCCAAGGCTCCTGAAAGAAAAAAAAAAAAAGTTCAGCAGCCTTCTGTGCCCAGACTTCTCACTGTCTGCCCACCTTGCAATGCTATGACATGATAGAAAAGAAAATATAACAAGGTGGAAGAGCAGCAAGATCTCAAACTTCAGCGAGTGAAGACCTGCTTAGACGTGATAACAGCAGGTGCAGAAATAAGAGAAAGAAGCTGCTTACCTTCAGGATGCCTGCAAAACCCTGTCATACACCAGCATCTCCAAATGAGATACCTTCACTTTCACTGCCAGCCCTTAAATGAGGGCTGGAAGGGGTGGATCCTGGCTCCAGCCCTTCAATCACTCAGATGCATTGCTTTCACCTGAGCTCCCCTGGGTTGGCCCCGCCTTCCCACCAGGTGCTCCATCACTGCTTCAGGCCATGATGTACCATTTGCCCTGCAGTCACAGGACACAGCCCTCAAAGCTGCTAGGGGTCCTGGTGGCAAACCCTCCACCCTCAGTCCCCATCCCTGCCATGTGCCCACACTCTTTACACCGCACACAGCAGGAGGAGTGCCGGCCACCTGGCTGTGCAGGCACAGCACTGAGAGAAGTGATGCCAAGGAGCTGCTCACTGTCATTTCCTGCAATTAAAGACTATTTATTTTTGAAGCTCGTGCTGCCAACCCCCCATCTGACTGTCACGTTTGCTGAATTTTATTTTCAGGACGTTCTAATTTGTTAGAGATCACATCCAACTGGTTATTTGACTGTCTGGGTTTAAATACCACCTTTGTAGCTAATCCTGGGTCTCTGTATCACAAATGTGAAAATTTAGGAGAACTTTCTCCATTTGTATCTCATGAAGGAATTCTCTTCACTTAAGGCAAAGGATGGAGTTCTCTGCCAAGCATTTATATACAAATAGAATCACAATCTCTGGCTTTGTGATAGGAGCTGCATCCTCGGGGTACAATTACGGCAATTATCTGGATGGATCTTCTCATCAGTAACCTTTGACTCATCTCCTACAAACTGTCAGTCTTCATCATCAAATGGGGAAAGCAGCCTATTGTTTCTATTCAATCATCTGCTTCTGAGAAAGAGAAAACTCCGCGATGAGGACAGCCTGCCTGCCCATTTCCGTGACCTCCTGCAGCTCTCCTGCATCTGCCAGGCGGGCGGCAGGGACTGGCAGCAGCTCACTGCTGTGCTGCACTGCTGTCGTGAGGAAAGCAGCAGGCGCCCTCTGAAAATGCTGCATTTCTTTTAGGGATTTCAAGGCAAGCAGAAAAGATCTTTTTGCATGCAAAATACAGATGCACCTCCTGGTTCTAAAAGGTACCGAATGCCTCAGTCCTCCGTGGGGTCTGTTGGTCACCCATTATTTCTGGGACGTGACCCTAGAAGGGAGAGAGCACTGTCCCAGCTCCCATCTAACTGTAATGCATTACACTGAGCTGAAAGGGACTGCTAATGATTTGCACCTCTGCAAAGATGGAGCACAGTCTTGCATTAGCACTACTGTTATGCTTACTGCCACACAGCTGGTACTGAAACACCAGCAGAAATGTTGTTGGAGGGCATGGCCTGGGGGATACAGCCCATTTTAAATGGAGTGATCTTAATTTGAAGTCAGCAATGCACAGCAACATGGCGTGAATGACTCAGTTCCAGGAGAACATTTAATATAGGATGGTAAATAACCACTGTAAACATTTTTAGAACTTAAATTATTGTGAATTATTATGGGAAAAGGACAGATGAATTGCTATGGCAAAACAATGGAGAATCACTCCTGCCCTAAAGGGGTATGGCTTAATTCTCCAAGCATACAGTCCTTCCAGAAAATAAGTAGCAGTTCCCAGGCTAAATTACAGTCACCATTAGCTGCTGCATACTCTTGGATAAGGTGGTAACAAAAGCAAACAGTAACATCCCTCCTTGCTTTCACCCCATTAGCTGTGAGTGCTGCTGCGTGAGCAGGACAAGGACACAACTAATAACAGACCACAGCTGGAAAAAAATCAAAGCTAGAAATAAACTAAATCACAGCGGTGAGCTACCACAGGAGTAAGAAGCGAAGTTCTTCATCCTCAAGTGCCAATTCAAAATGGAAACAGATTGAATGAAAACTGTCAGAGGATTCTTCACACCTTCGCATTGCTCACACCCCCCCATAAGCTCACACAGCCCTGTGATGCTAGGCAGAACCCAACTGGTTTGCAACTGACTTCAAACAATAGCTGGGCTGTCCAGAGCCCAACAACACCAATGACGTTTGCCTGCAGGCATGCTGTATTAATGTCAATTGCTTTCAGATGCGCATTTAGTTTCTCAAGCAAAACAAAAAATCAATATTAAACTGTGCAAGTGGAAGTTAGTGTAAGAGCACACAGCATTCTGTCCCGCACGCCTCTACCACCATCAGTCACACAGAGCAGCTCCCTTCATTGCAGGAGGCCACACTGCATCTGTACCCACATGTAAGAATTCCTCATTTCACTCTTGCTACTTTTGGAAGGTCTTCAGACTGTTGAACCTGCATCTCCTTTGTGAGCCTTCCTTGTTACCAACAGCTGAATCTCATCCACGTTTCCTCCCCGCGAGACCCTTTGCCACCAGCCACAACCACAGCCTCTAGTCGTGCTGCCATGGTGCTTTTACATCAGCCTAAGCTCTGACCTTTGCAAAGTTATGAATGTTATTTCAATTTTAATACCTGGAGTTTAATGTCTCTGGAGGAGATTAACAGCACCAGCTTAATGTCTTTAGGTCCTTGCACATTTGCTCACTGCTTTCTAATGTAACGTGATCACTGCATGCTGCTACACCCCTGTTTCTTTTTTGAGTTCAGTGAGATGACTTAAACAAGCAATAAGACAGCAGCACACTGTATCATCAGCGGGTCTCATTGCTCCTAAAAGCAGAAGAATTAAATCAGAGATTAATTTTCTTCTGTTTCATCTTCCTCCTCCGTACAATGGAGGCAGCCATAGCTGCTGCTGCAGGGAGCTGCCAGGTTTTCACAACAACAGATACAATTAATAGAGCTGCGGGAGCAGGGAGGAAAAGGAGGTGTGCTCAGAGCTGTGGGCAGGGAGCTCTGGCTGCAGCTGTAGCAGCACAACGCCTTTGCTTCCACCAGTACCAGCACTGCCCATCAGGGAAGGAACCAGGCAGCACTGCCATGAGGTCACCTCAGGTTTGAGCTCTGAGGTCCCACCACTGTCACTGGACTCCTTTTACAGAACAGAGCAATGTGCACCAGTGCAAGCTGGTATCAGAGAAATTGCGGCTGTGCACCTTTTCCAATTGCAGTTGTGAGATTGTTAAATAACAGTAACAAAATAATTCTAACTGACAAAAAAAAAGTAATCGCTGTGAAGATCTTGAGCAGATGACAGTCAGTGTGTTTTGTTACTGAGACTCAGCAACCAGCAAGATTTAAAAGACACAAACAGTTATTTTGGATACGAAGGAGAGGGGATCAGGAATTTAAGATGACAGTCAATTTCTTGGAAAGGAGACAATTCAGGAATGGAAACAAGCTGGAAACTCGCTGTTCTCTGCTCTTACAGAACACTGCCTAGGCAAAAGATAAAGATCACTGTTCAGTGAAATCCCAGATCACAGCATGCTGAGCTGCCCTCATGTGTGCAGTGACACTGTGCACCATTCCTACGCCACTGTAGGAGCACACAGGCACAGGAGTGCAGGCTGGCACGGCCCCGAGGAAGGCAGGCTGTACACTGGGGCTGTGCCCCCTGAGCACACTGCCCTGCAGCCCGTCCCAGCAGCGCTGCTGTGGGAGCAAGGCAGATTCACAGCCGTCCTCCTTCCTGGCAGCGAGGCTGCAGCTCGTAGTGACAACTGGAGCTTCGTCTGCTAAGAAAAACAGCTAACAAGAGCTCTTGTTTAGCCCTGAGCTGCGTAAGATGTTAAGCGAGACACCTGATTTCTAACTAAGGCAAAAATAAATAAGTAAATTAATTAAAAAAAAAAAAAAGAAAAAAGGAAAAAAGAAAAAGAATCGGAGCATCTTTGTCGGCGTCTAACTTTTGCTGGTCTGCTGTCGGAAGAGATGCGAACCGGTGCTGCCATCTCCAGGAAGCGCTGCCCATCGCCTCCATCGCGCAGCGCTCAGCACCAACCCAGGGCAGCACAGCTCACAGCACCGAGCCGTGGCAGGGCAGCACTGCTGTGAATTTCTATCTCACGACGTGAGCCGTTCCTGAGGCTTTAATGACTCCTCTATAATGAGTAACATCAAGTTTGTAAAAATTGGCATCTGTTCAGAGTAAGGGCTTTTAAAGGAAAGAGATAAAAGTGTACTGATCTTAAAGGTAGAAATAACACCGTTAACTCTGTAAACTAATCACCTGAAAGCCATGGCAATGCACGTTCTGAACCACAAAGAACAATCAGCGTTCCCAATTAAAAAGCATGAGTCCATAAGGAATGACTCCTGAACAGGTTGAAAGAATTCATTCTTGATTTCAGAAAGGACACATTCTGGCTTCTCACTGTTCAATAGTCATTTTTCAACTTCATTAAAATCTTTTATTTTTGTCTTTTACATTCCTCTTTGCATAGTCCGGTGCTCGGACCCCAGCACAAGATAGCATTCAGCTTGGTTATGGACAATTGAAGCAAGCAATATATTCAGAACATTGATAAAGTAGCTTCTACAGACTTCAAAGATGAATTTCAACAAAGAAATCTGTTGCTCAGAATTTATAACAATAATGAAAACCTTCATGAAACAGACACAAAACAATAATTATTAAACCTTATTAAACGCTCTAATAACAACTGCTATAATGGAAGGACGAATGGAGTGAATAATCTTGATAAATGAAACAAACTGACTCCTAGTAATTGCCACAAACATCAGATATAGAGCGGTCACTGAAAGGACAGTTAGCAAATGTTCCTTACACTGAAACATCGTTGCCTTTCATTTTCTCACCTCAGGAAAACACAAACAGACTGAAGCTCGCACAGCTCTCAGTTGTACAGATTACTAAAGAATAAATCTGTTTCAGGTCAGCATGTAAATCTAGAAGAAAAATGACATTCAAGCAGAAAGAATCCTATCTTTTGCAACTTACTTCAAAATTAGCTGGTTTTCTTCATCCTGTTGTGTGAATGTAATACAAGAGGTGAAGCTTCCCTATAACTTTCAGACGTCAGTCCATCACAGCCATTTCACAACGTGGTTCTGTCTTCTGCTTTCAAAGCTGTTGCCTCTATTCCTTCTAAAACAGGAAGAATCTCCCTGGCACAATGTTCACTCTTCACAGTAGAGACATCTGGGAACAACTGCAGGACAGTTTTGCAAAAAAATTAAATATTGTGATGATTAACCAGAAAGACAAGCAAATATTTCAATAGTTTCCAGTATTAGACAATTTAATGTAGTGAATAAAATAGTTCCAGTATATAACATCATGTCTTAGCTTTCAATTTATTTAGAGAATGAAACTATTTTACAGTGAATATTATGTGAGGAGCCAGGTAAGTAAGCAGCACTCATTATATGTTTAGAAGAAAACTAAGCATGAAGTGTGGAAATTTAATTTTCATATGAGAATATCATCAACAATTAGAAAAAGAAAATGTGTGCTCCAGCAAATCACTGATGGCAGCAGCCACAAGCCATTTCTAACAAGGGCTCAGCTCTCATGATAACAGCCACTAATGAAGGATCCCACAGGCCCTGCATGATGTGCAAGCAGTGAGCAGTGATGTATACCCCAAATGTCAACTGTGTAAAAAAAATCTGGAACTGGCACAGGAATTCTAAAAGTTGTGCGTGTCAAATAACAGACTGAATATCTGCATGAGCACTATCTAATGAGACATTATCTTAGGGTAGAAATTGAAGCTTCCAGATGAAAGGATCTGAAAGATACCAAAAATATATTGTTTGCATGTACCAAAACATTAATAAACAGCTAAATCTAATTATTGCAAAAGCATACACACTGCAGCTGTAAGATTCTCTCTAACCATACCATTACAGCTTTACCAGTGAAAACAGAAATGTCAATGCTCATGTAAACTCAGCTGCTGATATATATTCATTAGATTCTGAAAGGCTTCAACATTTCTTACTGTGTCAAATTTTGTCTCCATATCATTGGCCACAAATCAGTATAGGTATAACCTGCTATATCAAAATGTGATGTTTGAGGACACCTGGGCATCAGATCTATTTCCATAATTGTCTCTTGATGCATGAGCAGACCAGGATCCTGCCCATGGCCTTGCCTAACTGAATTTTGTCTATATTGTGCTTTGCCCAGTCAACAGAATTGCGCATAAATAAGGAAACATCTATGGATCAAATTTAGACTGTAAGGTAAAATTGCTAGAATATTACCATGCATGTGATGACACTCTAAGGTTTAAGAGTATTAAAGTTAACTTCACCTCTTCTAAGAGTTGCAAAGAAGAGAAATACTTGTGCCAGGAATACGCCAGCAGACAGCACAGGTGCTGCTATTGCCCCTATGGAGATCTCTGACTGAGCTCAGCCAGTGAGTTATCTGAATTGATTCACATCTTAGGAACCTTTACCTAATGAGAAAAGATGAGGAAGCAGAAGAAAGAGAAGGAAAGAGATTAACTGCAGACCATCCTCTGTCTTACACTGAAGGAATAAGCGCTCAGTGCTCAAGAGCTACTGAGCATCACTAAGTGATTACAAGTGCCCTTCTGGCTGCACAGACATGCTGAGCCAAGAGCTCTGTAAATGGGCCTGGTCACCTCTGCTGCATGACAGAAGGGTGACTCTAGCTATTCAAATCACTGGAGTTTTTATTGCTGGATCATTATCTGATCCAAGTACGAGAGAAGAACAATTTCTTCATTAGGATGCATATTGAGATTGATGTGCAATTTGAGTTTTGAAAATGAAAATGTTCCAGTCTGGTTTGTATTAAAGCAGTGCATTAGCAAAAATGGGCTCATAAGGAAACTCACTATGGCTCAACTCAGCAACGAGTGTTTCATTCACCTTTATAAAGGCAAAGTGAGTTTGTAAAAGGGAAAAGAAAAAATGCATTTGTAAGCATTGCTGAGCAGGGAGTTTAGGAAGATATCTGCAGGAGCTGGGGAGCAGCAGGCCCAGAACAAGTACCTGAGCAGAACTTCTGCTCAGCAATTCCAGACTATTCTAAAGCATTCCTCCATTCTTAGCACTTAAATTAGCTTCATTGTGAAACAGTAATTAAGCAGCAGGGAAGATTCACCGCCTTAGCCTTTTATTCTTGATTCTAATTTACATGATTAAATTCTAACTTATTCACTGATTACCTTCTTGCTTAGCATGCTTTAGATTCTCCCTTTCTTTCCTTCTATCCTTGCTTCTTTTGCTGGATGCAGCAGTGTTGGCCCTCACCAATCCACAGTTTTCAGGATGCTTGTGCACATCGCCCTGTTAGCATCATGAGCCACAAATACCTGAATCAAATATTAATATATGTAAGAGCTTTAACACACACAAAAAATCCCCCCCCAAAAAATTGTTTTGGCAGGCACATTTTGTACACCGTGTGAAGGGCTAACTTAGTTAACAACCTCCATAGAACTCCTGGAGATTTGTTCAGAACACATGCTAAAGTTCTGCTGGAGAGGAGCTCTGTACATCTGATTTCATATTCATTCACTCTTTTTTTTTCCTTCTGATCCATGCATAAGCAAAAACGTAAAATCTGTGGGGAAAAAAAAGGTTACATTTGTTTTAGAAATTTGCACATTTGATCCAGAAATGGATACACACCTCACAGCACACAGCTTTTGAACAAGTGAATGACAATTTCATGGTAATTTTCTGGCTGAACTGGTCCTAGCACTCTTTCCCTTCACTTATCTTCTTGAGTTCTTCAATTTGTCTTAAAATTCATACCTCCATGCTGCCTCTTGGTTTGAAAAGGCTACTATGCTCAAGATGAATAACTTCCATACCAGACTGTACAAGCCAGTACCAGCTCTGAATGCACGATGTGGCAGACATTCTCTGCCAAAATGGGAATACTATAATTATTATTAATTATAAGTAATGAATAATTATTATTAATTATTAACTATAAATTATTAATTGACCAAAGTAATGCTTGGGAAAAAAAAGACACAAAAAATCTGCTCTGCTGGTTTAGCATTAAGGAGTTAACATTCCACCCAGCAAACTGCTTCTTATTCTCTGCTCCTCCTTACAGTATAATACTAGATTCTTAAAGACAACTCCACAGAGATTCCTTAAAACAAAGTATCTTCCCCAGAGTGAGGAGCCCGTGCCACATTTAGGCATTCATAAGCTGTAGAGTTCACACTGGAATCACAATGCTGCTTAGAGTGAATTGTGAAAAGCTGTTTCTGTTGAAAGGTTTTGCTGCAGCATGAGCAAGTGAAAGACTTCTCATCACTATGAGTTCGTTTACGTGCAATTAAAGGACGTTTCTGAAACAAAGAAAATATTTGCAACATAACTATCCAGCTGTGTATCACATTCAACAAATCCATGCAGAAAAGGACAAATCCACACAGAAAAGGACAAGAGCACTACGGCTCCTTCATTACTCTCCACTGTAAGCAGATTGAGGAATCTGCTCAAGGAATGCATCAGTTGCTGCCCAGTCCCTTGGAGAAGGTCACAGCTTCTCCTCCTGAGGTCATTCCTGTTTGCAACGACCACAACCAGGTGAATCAGTGGAACACATTCCCAGGGAAGTTGCAGATGCCCCATTCCCAGCTGTGTTCAGGCCACGCTGGATGGAGCTTAGAGCACCTTGATGTGCTAGAAGGTCTGCATCCCTAACAATCCTAAGGTTCCCTTCCAACCCAAACCGTTCTATTATGTAAGAGCTTTTTTTATCATACTGTCTAGCATTCTTATGGCAATGTAGTGGTACTCAATTTCACCCAGGACAATAACAACCACAAAGACAAAAGATGATGTCCACACTACAGGCCGTGTGAATGGGCAAAAAGACAGATTTTTCAGATGGCTGAGAAAGGAAGCAATGGGAAAGCTTCGAATGAGGGCAGAATGAAGATGCTTTTACGTGACAATTTGCTCTATCAAATAGTGCTATTATGGTTTGGCTTTTTTAAAATCTTTTGTAGTTTCCATGGAAATAAGTAGGAGACGTCACTGTTGGATCAATCTTCGTATTTCTCCATACTATCAGTTCAGCAGAAGATATATGCAGTGTAATTGATGCTTTCATTCTGGATTTTACAGTTGTATAAAAAAGTATTTGTCAGAGATACACACAGATCAGAACCTGTGGGCCTTCATTTGAGCACACACACTCACTGGTCTAGAGATCTCCCCCTTTTTTTCTCCCTGTAAGTCAGAGAAAAGTATTGTTAAGTTTCTAAAGTGTTGACTGTGCTGCAACATAAAGAAATACAACACAAGCCTGTGGTATTTGTGTGCTGTACATTAGATGACAGCAAAGGTAAGCAACACAGCAACTAATTAAAAGTGGAATACACTGCCAAAGTCCAGTCTTCACTTGAGGCTGGAAAGCAATGTGATCCTGACCGTGTTTGTGGGTATGTTTACATGCTCAGACCAATTTTACCCAGCGACACTGGGTGAGAAATGTGGCTGAAAAATCACACAAAGCACAAATATTTGCCTTTGTTCTCACGTCACTGAGGTGGGCCGTTCTTCCTTTATACTTGTGAACATCCAAAAGATGTAACAAGACAGCCTCACTTTTCTGCATTCCTGTTTTATTTTTCATTTAGGAACCATTTTTCTTGCAAATAAACCATAACCACCCCACATCAGTTAGAATGCAGTAACAAATCTTTATCTTATTTAAGTAAGTATAGCCAAAGTGAACCCTGCCTTGCCAAGTCATCCACTTAATGTGCAATAATTTGTCGGTGAGTTGAAATAGCTGCTTGCATGCAGAGCTGCACTGATCATGTTTGAAACTTTTTCCATCCCTGTGAATCTTCCTTTGCTGATTAAGAGCACAATGGTTGTGAAAGGCAGCTTCACAGTGACTGCACTGAACTGCCATTCCATGTATGGAGGCACGTTTTGGCACCTGGCAGTCAAAATAGTTATTTTAATGGTAAATTTTGGATCTCCACAAGTTTGAACAAGAGTTAGGTTGTGCTTAGCCCTGAGTTACACGTTGGTTATAGAAGAAAATGGAAGGAAAAAGAAGACCTGTGCTCTCAGCAACAATTCCAGAGTAATTAAGCATTTGTAAGCTGAAATATCACTGATTTTAATGAAAACTGTTTAACAAATCAAATCCCTTTGAAAATTCCAGCAACTGCTTTCACCTGCACAAGATTAATTTCAAAACGCTACCCAAAGCGGTCTGTATGTACAAAGGAATTGTGACATGTAGATAATAATCCCATTTCCACCTTGAAATATTTACATCTGTTAAGTGGCACCTTTCTGAAAACACAGATAGATACAAAAGGCAACTTTGTCTGCCTAAATATTTTTAATACAGCCATTTCATAACTTCAAAAAATCTAACACTGCATCGAGCTCTTCTTGGTATTTGTCAACTGAATCACTTAAAATAAGTAAATACACTCTGTGTCTTAATACTGATTTCTTAATAAAACTCTTACCCCTACAAGAAAATTCTCTTCCTAGAAAAGAATTCAATTTACTCATGAAATAAAGCCACAGTGAGTTTACAGGGATTTGAATCAAGTAATCTTCCAAACAAGAGCTGTTCAGAAATGTAGTACATGGAATCACCAGAAAACCCCAAGGGCTTGCATCTCCAGAACTATGTATGATAATTTTAACTTTTACTTTCAGTGTCAATCTGTACGCCAACGCTGTTTGATATGGATGACAATGGGGAAAAACACAAATCAATTTCCTGCGTATAGGATAAAAATGGACTTATGCAGTGCTCTATTTTCTACATTCTGGGAGAAGATCCCAGCCAGAGAAGAGGCATTTCAGTTTATTGTATCACCTTCAATGTTTCATGATTGGTTTGTAGCCTGAAAATAATAGTGGATACTGACATAAGCAAATTCAGAGTCCTACAGGTATCCTGGAGGGGAAAAAGACCAAAATACTTGATGTTTTGTATTTTAAACAGCTTAAAGCATCAACCACAAGATGTCACCCCATCTCCTTGCAGGAGCTTCCCTGTAAATCAGCAGTGACCACATTTTCCACAGCATATTCTGTAATGATGTAAAGTCACAGAACGCATTTGGTTTCATTACAAGCAGCAACAATTACAAACATTTCAGCCCTGCTTATCTCTACATTCCCTTTTCCCCCTGCTTTAAACTCACCCAAATCTCTTTTCTGTGCAATATAGGCACTGCAATGTGGACACTGGTATTTTGGCACATCTTCTCCATGCTTCCTTATTATGTGTGCTTTCATGTTACCACTCTGAGCAAATTTGGTGTAGCAAATGTAACATTCGTGTGGTTTTTCACCTATTAAAATGTGAATATATACTTAGGAACCCTGTATTCGATACAAACACTACATTCACATAGATCTGAACATCTAATCTTTAACAGCAACAGCCAGACCAACCAAAATGTAACGTTACCTTGTAATGCATGAAAGGCCAGCAAGTTTACATAGCCCATTCCTATGCAAACTCCTGGTTTCCTGAATCTGCAAGTCAACCTGATGAAGCATAAAACCATTAATTCTAAATTATTAGTCAGGAATTATCTTCGTTACCTTTTATCCCATCTTGTGGATGGATTCCATTTCACGTACAAAAATGCAGTGTTACAATTGAGTGCACAAGGAGAGGAAGTGAATGGCTGCAACATCAAGATAAAATTGATTCAACCCCAGCCATCAATATTGGGGAAATATTTTCTTTTCCTTGACTTTCTTTCCCAGAAATCCACATCAGCTCTGAATATCATCAAAAATTACATCAGCACTGGTGGAAAGCCCAGCCTAAGAGCACAGGGAAACATCCAGTGTTGAGGTTTTGAGCCAACTCCAGTCTGGCCCTAAGCGCTGAGCCCCCACCACGACTGGGCAACACGAGGCCCACTTTTAGATATTTCTGGTCAATTCCTCGAAAAAGAAGTTAGTCTGTTTGCACCAGATTACTCTGGAATGTAAACCAAAGCATAAGTGGGCATTTTCAGGAGATGTGAAACACACTGCCATTCGTGCTAACATGTTAACGAGGCACAGATCACACTGTGACTGAACTGATGTGAAACCTGAATTATGAGGTAGATAAGGTAGATACTATGTTCTCAGACAGTGTGCATATTACAGTCAATTTGGGCAAGATCAATCTGAGGTCACAACAATGTGGAATAAGCAAACTGCACAAAGAATGTGCTTTTCAGGTACGTTTTTACTCAAAACCACGAATGAAAAGCGTTGTGATTTACAGTCTGAAATTAGGTCACAAGGAAACCCATGAATTTTGAAGGCCTATACTAGATACAAGCATAAATCATTACATTGGGGAATCCTACCTGATTCCAAGTGTTCCTGATTGCCAAGTGTCTTTTCAGTTTATATGCATCTTTGCCAGCATAGCTGCGCAGGTAACATGCATGAGGACGCTCTCCTGTATGTGAGCAAACGTGTCACTGCAGTTTACTTGCCTGGCATAAAAACAAGACAATTTCTGCAGTAACATTTACGTTTATAGAAGTATAAACAATTGAAATATCAGGACATTCACAAAATACATCTACTGCAATTTTAAATACTGCATCCGTTACAGACTTAGTGCTGCCTGTTCTGGATTTAGCTGATATTCTGTACTCTTCCCCCAGATGATCTTGCTTCCATCTTTAGTACCAACATAAGTAAAAGGAGAACCCTTAACGTGAGAACAGAAAAAGCCACATTTTAAAACTGGCTGAAAAGAACACCAATTACCTTCATGCTACTCTGTATACCAAATTTAAAATGCCCAAACTCATTAGCTAAAGCCTTTATTCATCTTCAAGTTCATACGAAGAACATTCACTGCAGAAGCCTAATTCATTCTATTTTTTAATACTGTTTTTGTGTTCTGTCCTACATAAATAACAAGTATGCAAGTTGAAATTAGGAGTTACTTTCTGTAGAATTCCTGCATACTTCATGAGCTCGCTTCTAGAACCACTTAAATCTACCATACCATTGACTTACATAGAACTAAGCACGATTGTTTCCCCACTTTTGTAGCCCCTGTGGTCCTTTCACAAGTCAAGTTTTATACAACGTCAACTTTGGCCATTTGGCCATGCACTGTCCAGCTGTACATTTGCACTGCAAGCCAAGCATTAATGCTGAGCTTGACATATACAGCTTAGTATCTGAAAGCCTACCAACTTTCCCCAAAGGATTCAGAAATGCTGTGCTTGCTTCTGCACTTGAATATTTACACACTGAACACTTGAAAGGTTTTTCAAAGGTATGCTTGTAACACCTGTGCTGTGAAGCTCTCCACTGGTCACAAATGCCATATCACAGTCACTGCATTTACAGGGCCTGGTCCCTGTAGGAATATATCATTTCTTAAAACCTTATTTAACAGCTGTTTGATTTGTCTGCATTAAATCAACACAATTTTTGCCAGAACCTTTTTGTGACTCTATTTTTTTAAAAATAGACAATAAACATCCCCCATACACTGATCATAAACACCTGCTGTGTCAATTCTCTTCACATTCATAAACAGTCACAAAGAAATCATCAGAGAAGTTTCTATCATGCATACAAAAATCCGACAAAACCAAAGCAAATTTTCAGTTGATAAAAAATCTTAGAATGGCAAAAGGTAACAGGGAATCACAAACAGACCACATCCTGTCAGTGCAGAACTCCAAACAAAACTGGTGAAGCTTCTGAGGACAGAACGATCACAGAATCCGCCTCTAAGTCTGCCACTTGCCCGTGGATTAAATCCTGCAGACAATATGTAATGGAATAACTACACACATTAGATACCTGCATGCACATTCACGTGGTTCTGCAGGAGAGCAGCTGTTCGAAAGGCCTTGAGGCTGATGGGACACAAGTGACGTTTGCCTTTAGAATGGATTTTCCTGTGGCGGTTCAGACCTGATACCTTGAGCGAGGTGCATGTACACAACTCACAGCTGAAGGCTGCTTTTTCTCCTGTGAGAACAAAGACGCATTTAGATCATGAGATAGAAAAGAATGACTTCACTCTTCAAAAATAGTACTGAATTCAAGATAGTGCCTCTAGTTTAGGGAAAACTACCTCACATTTATACATAAAAGTGCTTCAAAATGCAATAATTTCTGCCTGACAGCTTGCCTTTTCGTAATGTAGCTATTTAAGACTTAAGCAACTCACCCCAAGATAGTGCCACGCATTAGTGATACAGTTCAGAGCCTAATTCTAGAAATCCTACCTCTGGTCACAGAATCACAGAATCACAGAATCACAGAATCACAGAATCACCCGGGTTGGAAGGGACCTCAAGGATCATGTAGTTCCAACCCCCCTGCTTAGCAGGGCCACCAAACACACACATTCAGATCAGGTTGCCCAGTGAACACATCCAAGGACGGGGCATCCACAACCTCCCTGGGCAACCCGTTCCAGGGCCTAACCACTCTCCTTGTAAAGAAACTAACTCCCACCTCCAAGAGAAGATGAAAGTGGCTAAGACATGGTTCATGAAGGCACTTCTAAACAATGCAACACACTTCTTGTTGTCAACTGTATGATCAGTACTAACAAATTTAAAGATTTGGGTATGGCAGGCTAAGCTATCCTCAGCTTTCAGTAAGGAAAAGTAAAATCTGGTACGATGTAAAAGCTGCTACAAAATCATTAGTTGACTTCAAGGAAAGATCAACTACTTGAAGAAGACAGAATAAAGTTACAGGATTATATAACGTTTCCAAGTTCTTATCACAGCAGTAAGAAGTTCCTTTGAGAGTACCAAGTAAAGAGGAAGCATGCTGCACTTTCAGTTTTGAAAAAGATTCAAAACTGCAAAATGGCAAATAGATCATATGAGAAGAGCCTTTCCAGAACAGTTGCCTCAGCTCCCAAGTGCACTTTGTAATGTTTTTCATGCTGAGACCAGAATACATTTATACAGTGCTTCATAGCGCACAGAACATGCAGCTAACACTTGAGTGACAGCAAACAAGACTGCTTTGTTGTTGTTTATTCATTATGGATTCATCCCACAGAACAGAACTTCCTTTGCATTGTTAAACCTGCTAAGTGTGCTTCCTTTAAACACAATATCCAAACCAAGGGACATTATTGATTGGTACAACATCCATACTCCAAACTTCCTCCACCAGTATACCTTCATAACCAGATATTATGAGGGACACATTCACAGATTCTTCAACCCCACTGATGTCACCCAACTTTCAGAGTACAGACATACAGATGCTAGGGAAAGTCACATTACATGCCCTTTAAGCCAGTCCTTAACCTCTGCAACACACTTTTAACATTCCTGAAATATTAAGACAGCTACGTTCCATTACTCTTATTTAGGATCTGGGAGATAACCTTGCTGACAGGCACTGGTATTTGCCTACCACTCTCAACCAGCAAGTTGCAACCATTCTAAGCTCATCCATAAACCCCTGAATCTTGCAGCTGAACGGACCAAGGAAGATTAAATAAATTATTAGGCTTATTCATTATATTATTCATTTATACCCAGTCTTAACTTTGACAGCTCCCTGGAGGTTTTAAAAACCACATCATGTTCATCTTGTTTCAAAATCTAACTTAAAATATGTTATCAAATAATTAACTACAAATATTATAGTCAACTGTTTACCTTTCTTCTGAGGTGAAGCACTCATTTGACATTTTAGATACTTGGGATTTCTTATAACTGCTTGTACTGATGGAGATGCATATCTGTGGTTTTTATCTTCATCACGCGAGTCTGACAAATCATCACTAGCTTCACAGCTCAGACCCTCTGCTTCCTTTCCTCCATCCTCTGCAGATTGGGCCAATTGCTGGACCTTATTTTCAAATTCAGTGACATCATTATCTCTGTTAACCTACTTAAACAAGAAGTTTTTAAGCTGCCTTAATCAAAAGTAGTTGCTAATGGCAAAACAACTCAACTTTCATCAAGAATCAATCTGGTAATGCACAGTCATCCTAAATGCTATCAGGGAAAGCTGCAATGAAATTTCACATTTAACATCCAGCAACCTAGCTGGGATCTGAACCATTACTAAAATGGAGTCCTTGCTCCTGAGAATTGTACATTGAGTTTCAGAGCATCTTTCTGAGACAGCAGCAAGGAGAACATAGAAACTCATATCCTCAACATTAAAAGAAAAGGTATTTTAAACTTAATTTCAGTACTTTTCCCTTCTAAAAAAGGACAAGATATGTTCTCAATTTTTTTTTTCTTTTTTAAAATGGAACTAATATAGGACACACATCCAACAACCACTGTTGTATTGTACTCATTACTAAAAGAAAGGAAATTATCTAACACTATTTAACAGACCTAGGCTATGAAAAACAGAAGCACCACAGCGTTTCTGATGAATTGAATTAAAAGTTTGAGTTGTAGCAGCTTAGAGCTAGTAATCTAGAAAGGCTACATTTTTTGTTTGCTTTCCTCAGTATAGCTTGAAAACAGAGAGCTGCACAAAGGATTAGCTATTTCAGTCCAACAAATCTCATCACTTAGGAAAAATGATACGAAAGTCAGAACAGTGGCCCTCAGTCTTAGTTGTAGGCCCTGAACCTTCTGTCCCTGCTCAGCTGGAGGCCACGCGGTGCAGCTCAGTTGGTTTTCCCACTTTTCAAAGTATTTGAAGTGATTCCCATGTTTCCCATCCGGAGGCACTCAGCCTGGTGCCACCTCTCTGAGTGCTGCTGAAGAGCTGGCTGACGGCAGCGCTCAGCATCTCTTACCTTTGCAGCTTAAGTATTGTGCAAAGCTGATGAAGTACATTCATAGTGGCAATGGAGTGCTATATAAACATCATTATATTATACTTTAGGCCACTGCTGGTTATTCAAGGAGAACAAGTTTTGGATTAAGTGCTCTCCAAAGGTATTGTAAAAATGTTTTTGAGGTAAACTGGTGAGATTTGAGAGACTAACATTTAATCTCGTGTACCTTTCCAGACTAGCGATTTCCAACACTCAAACATCTCACAAGGCCCACTTATCATTCATACTCTATTGGAAACCAGTGCAGAGGAAGGATGTGGAGCCTTCCCTCTAAATGCTGCACAGCGCATTGCAGAGCTGCAATAGCCAACTATGAGCCAGATCCCACTCAACACTTCACTGACCTTAAAAAATATCCCTTGCCAATTTATGGTTTTCCTCACCTGTGTAAGTGACCCCTGGAAAGCAGCATTTGTGAAATATCTTTAGTTCAAAGTAGCAGCAATGCTGGTGGCTTGTTTGGCTTTATAGTTCCATTAGACAAGGTGGTATTTTGCCCAACACCAATATTAGACTGTGCTCGTCTGAATACAGTAAGCACTACTGGGTATCCAGGAGCCACATGAGCCCTTTTCCAAAGAATTTGGCAGGGACTTTTGTACTTTCGTGTTTAGAGTTCATAAGATAGCACACGTGATGCAGCTCTGGATTTCTGCAAAAGGTGCAGCCGTGAAAAGTACCTCAGTGGTAAGGCTGTGAGAGTGGTAACAGGCTGTAAGGATGGCAAATTAAAATCTTCCTGAAAAATGAATATAACGATGAGCCAGATATTAATTAGGTCATTGACCTTATTGGACTTTATCCTCAAAGGCAGCACATTCCTGTAATTACCACAGATGTCCTTGACACAGCTACTCTTATCCACAAATCTGTAGAGTTGCAAATGCAAGAACAACATAAAATTTTTACCCTTAGTGACTGCAAATTAGTCATACCTATTCTGTTACAATGATTCAATACAAATCCAAAGCAATTATTTAAGGAAGAGTGTGTACTCCATCAATTCAGGGCTAATATTTCAGTGCTGATACCACATTATGAATAATCTTCTGAATCTGTACATACGCAGCTGATATTATAAAAGCTTCATTATGATGCAACGTAAAACACACGTACTTCAAAGTCTTCAGCTTCATTCTCTTCCCATGTTTTAGAAAATCATTTCAGATGGATTTAGGGGCTGTGTAACCAGCCTTTCTTGTGTATATTTTACACCTCCATATTCCCATCATAGGTCCTAAACTATAACCCTCTGATACCAACAGGATTGCCATTAATTTAAATGCGTTTGGAATTAGGCCCAGAATAGGTAACTACTCAAGTAGAAATGCTATTTGCACATTTATGACCTGTCCACAAAACTCGGGGCTGTTATGGCACAGCAGAAAGAAAAAAACAAAAAACAGACCAAAGCAAAAAGCCTAACAGATAAGCCCCAGTTTAACCTTACATGTTCGTAACCATTCACTTTTATATTTCTTCTTGCAGTTCAAAACTCCGTTCCCCTCTGGCACATGACTCCTGTTACCCTACTAGGAAACTCAGTCTTTGTTGTGACTTATTTTGACAGTTTTAATATCATTTTCCACCTGGCATCTGAAGTTTTCCATTTTCACTTTCCTCCGATGTCTCACTTTTGTTTCCAAGTGTATGTTGCCTTCACACTGCACCTGTCACAGTGGAATCTATGTCCCCTAACATTGGTCTACAAACATATACGCCTTTACTTTTGCTCTTACACCAGGGACAACTGCTGCCTTCGTCACCTGTTTTGCAGTGTGATCTGCTTCTCCGAATGATGATAGCAGGAAATAGCTCTCACACCATCACCTGTTTCAGAGAAAGCCTTTAGAATAATAAGTTCTCCTACCTCACGTGCCTCCTTATATGTTGGTCTGTTATCAGGTTGTACTCACTAAATGGTGACATATTTTCACTTTATTTTCTGGTGCTGTTGTCGACTTGTTCTTTTAGTGTTCCACTTTTGCACTGAAGAAGGATTACTTCAGGGACTACCAAAGGCCTGAACTAAAAAAAACAAAAGTCATGTCAACTAATGGTAAAAAAAAAATACATTATATATACGATGTATATACAAATACATTATATTCAGTGCTGTTCCAAGCACTGAAATTAGCAGATTCAGAATAAACTTAGTGCTTCAGCACTGGCCTAGAAGGTTCTCAGGAGAAATTATACGTTCTGAATTTCAGAAAAGACACTGATCACTTGGAAAGAAGACGACTATTAAAACATGTGAGCTTTTTCCTTTTTTACAGACATCTGGCTCTGGGACAGGAGTTGCAGTTGTTTCCAGCAGGCATTTTTTAGCATTCAGATCTGCCTTGGATTTCTTGCCGAACAGCACAGGACTACTGTCTTCATCTCTACAGCTATTTAATAGCTGGTCAGACCTCTAGCCCAGCGGTTTAGCTGCAGCTCTGTTTGTATATACAGTCCTACTTGTTACTGTACTTTTTCACCGTAGCAAAAGAAAGACGGGAACACAGCAAAGCAAAGTCAAAGAGAAGTCATTCTGGGGTGCATGGGTTGACCAGTGTCTGGCCAGGTATAAATTACCACTTCTCTTTCTCAGTGCAAAGAGGAGGATGAGCGGAGATACAGCGCTCTCTTAGAGGCACAGAGATGCTCAGACTGTGCCACTCATGCACAAACCACTTGATGTGCACTGTATGAAGGCACAGTGAAAGTCCTGTGCTGCTCTCTCTCCAGGGCTCCTCTTGGCCTTGAGAAGACAAATACCCTCTTTAAATATGAGTGGTTCTAACAGAAGAACCAAAACAACTTCTATTGACTTAAAGACCTTAATACTTTTACAGCTTGCCTCTGCTTTTCAAATCCTGCTCCATGCAGTTAACAATTATAATTATATAGCGTGACAAAAAAACAGGGCATAATAGCATACAGATGTGGGATACATAAAAGGGAAAGCATTTAGCATAAGCTTGTTGGAGCTGAAAGTACCAGGGGTGATTGCTCAGGCACAAGTCACAGGAATGATCTAAAAATATTAACCAGAATTGCAATTTGTGTATTAACTGTTCCATCTAACACTGTTACAGACTTAGAAACAATTTTACCATCCAGTAATGCATGGCTTGCTGCTTCTGGCAGACAGCAGATCTACGTGCCTGGGTCTGTTGGGAAGAAGTGTGTTTGCTTCAGGACCTTTTCCTTCCATTTCAAACGACTTGAACGTAGTTACAGTTAACTACACCTCAGTGACTCCCAGTGTTCTTACAGAATACTCTTTAATCAAAGAGATAGCAAAGAAAGTTCTAAAGACAACTCCCCTTAGTTAGTTAGTGAAGCCTTTTGCTGCTGTTTGTGCAAAGGTCAAAGAAGTTACGTTTAAAAGGCAGAAAGTTTTCCTCTTGTTTTGACTAAACTGGAGGAAACGTGCTAGAGCTGTGCAGAATTTGATTGCCAAACATCAAGTGAAGACACACAGTGAGAAAAGGTAGTAAAGGTTTAACCCAACTGATGTAAGAAACAAAATTCAAGGATGCCCATGTTTCCTTGCCTTTATCACACTGTTAATCTTTAATCAGGAAAACAGTTCTGAGAACAGCACTTTGTGGACAAATAAACAGGCATAAATGTCTGGAAGTTAACAGGATCACCAGAGAACAAGACTATTAAATCATTGTCCTAATAAATCAACAGATGAGATGTACAACCCCAAGGAGTTCAAATTCTGCTTCCACGTGGATATGCAGCAAGTGCACGTTAAACCTTGCAGAATCAGCAGAAAGGAGCTGGTCTGCGGGTTCAGAAGAGCACTGGCTTCCTGTGCAAGTTTTTTCCAGCTCAGATCACAGATCTGCACAGGTTCTAAAATGTCTGAGGATCCTGAATCGAATTCCTCAATGTAAAAAT